GTACCGAAAAGGAGAAACTTTGGTTTCAAAACGGGTAAAAACAATAAATAAACACTCAAACAGAATAGTACTCTAAAAATAGGCGGGTGACTTCAAATGTACATGAAATAAACACCGATAAATCGTAGCTGTAATATTTAATATTCTTGTAACTCTTTGAGTTAAATATTTTTTAGGTTTAAATTCATGTTTTAAAAGTATTTTTTGTTTTAAATAATGTTGATGATCAGTTCTTATTATATGTATAGAAAGATTTAAGGAATAAAACAAAATTTTCATTTAACAACTAATTGATGGAGATATGAAAAAAATCTGTTAATATTGGGTACTAGGTTAAATTAGGTTTATAATTTTTGTTTAGAAAATATCATATATGTAATATAAGAACTTAACATTTTTTTTATTGTAAATAGGATATTTCATGTGATAAATAAAAGAAAGCTTTCTTCAAATTTAAATATTCAACCATCTTGATACACGTATTAGGTTTGACCAATCGTAAAATAATTTTGCATATCTTATTTTTATATGTATTAGAATAAATGCTATGATTGCGACCTAAAATATGTATAAAACAATTTTTTACCTATACTACTAATGACCACTCTATTGGACTCAAAAAATTATGATTTTCAGGTTATTAAATATTTGTTTACGAAATTTAATTTAATTTTTATCAGTAACATTTTGTTACAATGAACCTTTCCATATTTTATCAGAGTGTGAAAAGTTTAAGTCCAAACCTAAGTTTGCATCATATAACGTAAGTCGACATAATATACAGAAAAAAATGAAGGCATTATAAACTAGCCGTATTTTAATTTAAATCTTTGTAACGATTTAAAAATGTTATATTTTTATATTTTTATGTTTTCTCTAAAAATTGACAAAATTAACTTATGTTAGATTTCAGGTACAGTTTTGATTTTTAGTATAAAAACTTACGTGTAAGTATTACCAATGATCACTTGGTCAAAGCCCAACTTACAATATCCATCTTTAATTGCTAGCTTATAAATCCAATCTAAAGTACCTGTATGATCAACAATATATTCAGAAAATATTTCTCTTCTCATGTCTAGATATCTTTGAATTAATGTTTCAACTGAATTTTAATAATTATATACCGCGGAATGATTTGATTTGTCAAATTCCTCTATTATTTTGTCTAATGAATCCTGAATTAAACTTCCAATATTAAGAGGTTTATTTAATGTCAGATCATACAATAGCTTTATTTGATTAACAAATCATTTATAATCTAATTCATATTGCCCATATAGATGAATATTTATATTATGTATGAAAATAGCGACATATAAAAATTTTAGAAGCATTTTAGCTGATGTGCTTACTGTATGCCGCAACATCCTAGAGCAATAAATGAAATTGCTAAATAATTATTTATGTACGTTAATTTACACAATTTCGTCATTCAAGAAATTTCAAGGACTAAATTTTATATTTTAAAATGGGATCTAATTATTAAGACTGATTAAAATTATAATATATAAATAAAAATCATAACTTAAGAAATTCGATTCTGCATTAAGTACTTTTTACATATTGTATGGTCTGACATTAAAAAATCCTCTTGATATTAATGATAAAACTATTGCTAATAAAGTAGTAGCAAATGTTAGAAAATTTATTTCTAATATATTAGACAAAAAAACATTAGTCGAACTTGACCAAATTAATCATTACGCGATTTATCATTATTTAAATTCAGTTAAAGCAGCTTTTGTGGTCCAGCATAATAGAAACCTGACACAAGAAATAATTACTGACACTGTTAAAGAACGTATGAAATTCCCTGTATATAACATCAATAGGTCCATGTTACTGGTTGATCTTTTAATATGACAAACATATTAGACAGTAGAGTAAAGGAACTAGGATAAAAATGAAAAAAATTGAAGGTGAAGTAAAATAAAAAACTATAATAGTAATATTAATTAAACATTGATGAGGTTGAGCTTCCAAAAATGTTTGATACATTAAAATAATTTCCAGAAGAGAGAAATATATTGTCGCTTCCAAAATATGTCACTAGTCCATTGAATTTACTATTTATAGAAAAATAATGTCTTTAGTTTTAGTTTTATTATATTTGTCTTAATTTTTTTTTTTTGTTATCATTTCATATTTTATAACGATCATTAGGTCCACTATAGGTGTGTCAATGAAAGAATATATTTGAAATGGACTCTAGTATAATTTTTATAACTATTCAATTTTTATAATTAAAATTTCTTTTATCATAGCTAACAGCATCTTTGTCAGCAAAAATATTTTTTATAATATAAGTTTTATTTTTATATTGTATTGCAAACTTTTTTTTATTTAAAGAATAAGAATATTATTTAGTTGTCGAATGAAATACTTATGTATGTTAGTTATATTCAATTATAATGAAATACACGTATTTTGTAAATTGTAAAAGAACTAAAACGCATAATATTATACGAGAAATTAAAATTTGTCGAACTAAACGACATATAAATATAGCAGAATTTAAAACATATTTTTTATAATTTGCATAAATATAGTAATAATTTTATTAAATGCTAATCTAATTTTACCCTGTTTATGCCGTTTTATTATATTGGAACATAAATCGTTTATTTCAACTGTATGAATCATTGATAAAATAACATCAGTAATGAAATCATAACTATATATATTGCTTATTGGTTTAGAGTTCAATCAAGTGTTTTTTTATTTGTCTTGAAGAACAATACTATAAATTTTACTTCTAAAATCTATAAATCATTTATAATTTACAAATGTTAAACTTTTAACCTTTTTTTAGTTAAAATTACAAGTTTAAAATTGATATCATTAAATACAAAATTTTATGATGATTTCAAAAAGGTTTTTGATTAGTTTGATATGATCAGAAACTTATATAATTGCTATTAACAGTAAATTTATGAGAAAAGCCCGAAATTTCGTTAAAATCATTTATTATATTTTTTGTATTTATATCGTAATAAATCGTTTCAATAGAAATATTAATCATCTTACTTTTGGTGTTTAAGCAGATGATACAATTGAAATATTCAGAACCATATTCCTTATATTTATATCCTATAGTTTTTAAATGATTAGTAATAATATCAAATATTAGTGGCGATAGAAAAGATCTAATTGTAGTTTTAAAATTAGCACGAATAATAAAAGTATATTTTTGAATCTAATGAAAATTCCTTGTAGAACCTTTAATTAATAATTAACAACAAATTATTTTCTGAAATGTTTTGTATCAAGCCCTTCACCACCACCGGTGCTCAGTGGTCAACTGCGCTCAGTAGATAAACTTTGCACTCTAAATCAGTCTGGGTTCACGATGTAATAAGGCTTAAATATAAAAGGCAAAATATACGGTACTGTATCAGTGTATCCAAGACAAACCCCTATTTACGCGCCTCCTTTTAAGAATCATAAATAAAGGGTGCTTTTCGACTTTAAAATTAGTGCATTATCATTATCATAACCTTGCATTCTTTATATAGATAATCATTATTACATTACAATTTGTCATTTTATTTTTTATTTTTCATTTAACTCATGCTATTTTAATTGTGACAAGAAAATAATTTTAAATACTAACATAAAAATTTAAGGGGATCCTAAAATATAATTTGTTCAGTTTTTCCGCTAATTATGCAACTGGTCACTGATCAAATTGGAGACTATTAAGCGAATTTTACGTAGAGCTTAGCAGTAGACTATATATGTAGTCTGTACCTCCATAAACTAGAAATTTAAGTAAAAGATTTTAATATGCTATATAGAACTTGAAATTTTGTGAATAAACTAAAGTAAATAAGTCGCTATCATAGCATAGATCAAAGATCTATATCAGAGTTAGTAGCTCAGGTGAGCCATGTGAATTAGCAGAAATATTTAGGGGCTTAAGAAAACTAGCCCCAACAATTTTTTTTTAATGTTATGTTAAATAAAAACATATTTTAGGGTAGGGGAAAATATTAAAATATATCATTTAACTCTCCTAACTTTATTCTATTTATGCTTCACGATGATCGTTTCAAAAAAAAAATTTTGAGGTCTGGCTTAGGTTAGATTTAAAAATTGCATAGATGACACTGGAATAGCACTTTTAGGGGTGCTAAATTATTCCCTAACCCTAATAAATATTTTATATAAATTTCAATACGACTATTTAAATTTTTAGAGGTACTAGAGCATTTTTGTAGTTGCGTCACTTGTCATATTTATATAAATTGAACATTTTTTTTAGCTATCACTTTTTTATTAAAGATAGTATTTTGTTTATGGGATACCAAAATAATTCATAAATGATTACTATTTTTTTATTCTAACAATTATGTATATTAATAAATACTAAAAATGAAATTGTGATAGGTGTTACCCAATTAGTAACAATTTGCTTATTTAGTGACGATACTAGAATTCACATTAACATATATCATTTTCAGAACAAAATAAAATACTAATATATTATTTAAAACAATTATTAAGTCATTTAGTTAATAATAGTGTAAGTATTAATGATACTGTAAGTTACATTAACAAGTTTTATTTGTAATAAGTTTTAATTAGACTGACTTAAGATACCACAATGCAATCAAACCAAATTTTCTGTTAAAGATTGTTATACAAAAACTGAAGCACAAAATATAATGCTTTTGAGACCTAGGATTTTCATTTTCATCCATTCTTTTAGAAAACATGTGATACTACAAAATCATAGCAGTTTAAATAATAATGTTTTTAAGTGAATGGACAATACTTCACATTTCAACAATACATGATTACTAATGGTTTATATAATACAAAATAACTGAAACATTACAGGCCTCATAATAACAATTAGAAGTTTCTATAACATAATACATTATTTTAATATGGCCATTTACTATCCATTGTAAAGATACCAAATTATTTTAACATCATTTTTGACATAAACAATTAGGAAATTGTTAATAAATAATTCAAGTTTTTATCAAAAATATTTTTTTTTTGTATAGATTTTATTATATATTATCTATAAATATAAATTTACAACAATACTTAACTCTATAAAAATAATTAAAGTTATTATCTAAAATATATGTCTACTTTACTTTTAACTAAATGAATTTGAGGTAATAAAAATTGTTTACATTGACATTTCATACCACTTACAAAATCAAAAGAACCAACTCTTAAATTACAGTTTGGACAAATTAATTTTCCTTTCTGCCAATCACCCTAAAAAAACAGTTTTAATTTACTAACACAAGTCTAAAAAATTGGTTAAACTTTTATGGTAAATATGTTACAATAATACTTATAATACTTAACAAAGTAACTATTTAAAACATTGTTTTCATTAAGAACCATAACTAAGCATCAGATTTGAACTAATGAGAATACTATAAATAAGATATTTTAAAGTCTAATCTAATGATTTTGATGTTTAGATTTATTAAAATACTCGATCCTTTATTCTTCACAATAATATTTATTTATATTAATAATGAGTTGAAAATAAATTTTTATTTTAATTTCTAAGTAACACTAGTATAACTAGTATTTATTTATTATGTCATAGTATTTGAAATAGAAATTCATATTTATGTTTAACTTATTTTTGAAAAACTCACAAAAAAATAACAACTTTTAAATATTAAATATGTATATATAATACTAACTTCTTCTACATAATTATTTATCCAATCTGGTAATGCAGTAGAAGATAAATACCAGTTATTTTCCATAACATTTTTATTACAACTATATGTAACTCTCGATGTATCTTTTATTGGTTTTTCATGGCAGTCAAGTATGGTAGATGTTTCACTAGATGCTAACTCATACCGGCATTTTTGACATTTTATACTAATATTACTCATTTTTATTAGTGTAAATAAAAATTCTATAGAATAGAAATTTTATATTAAAAAGTAATTTATTAAACAAGAACTTTGAAAATACCTTTCTTTATAAAATTTTTTTAATCTCTAGAAATTAAACATTTATCTCTATTATAGTAGCACGTATAAAAATTTAATACACAATTAAGACAGGTTTCTAAATTTAATTTTTATCTGACCATCAGAGTATACATAAAATAATTAGAAATCCGTTAATTGAGTTTAGCCAAATATTTATATACATTTCTCAACTTAAATACATATCTAAGGAAAATACTAAAAATTACATGTGCGTGAAGCTACCAATTCCTGGTCCACCAACTTCTTATCACTAACAAATTTCGGTTATCAATATATTATACAGTATAACGCTTTTACCTACCGATAGATGTAGACACATAATACCAAAAAGCATATATTAAACCAATTCGCCAGTNAATATATTATACAGTATAACGCTTTTACCTACCGATAGATGTAGACACATAATACCAAAAAGCATATATTAAACCAATTCGCCGGTTATACACTAGAGATGGAAAGTTTAGTTCATTTCTGTGAATAGTTCATTAGTTCATAGTTCATTCAAGTGAATAGTTCAAATGAACTATTCTTAAGTTCACTAATTTTATTGATCATGCTGATATTGTTTGGCAACGAACTATTCATTTTATCACTATTAGTATAGCAGTACACGGTTCAGTTGTAGTTCACACTACTTATGGGCAATTAAGTTATAAACTAACCCTTAACCTGAACATCATAAACTAAGAAAAAATTATTATTAATACCCTCATGGCTCATGTTATCATTATCACCTAATTCAAGGTAGATATACTGACCAGTAGTCATAAGTTCATATCATAATCAGAAATCTGATCTAATATTTGTACATAGTATGAATTTATTTTATTGTTAAACAGTTAAAAACCGTGTAACATTTTAACAATATAATTTATTTGTTATCTAATTGTAAACAGCTATTAACCATTTACAGTATTTCGAACAACGAACCACAAAGAATTTTTAAAGAAGTTCGCGAACTATTTCATTTATACATTGCTACCAATTTTTTTCGAACTGTGAACTGTTAAGTTACAGGTACTGAAACAGTTCAGAATAGTTCATCTAAGTGAATAGTTCAAATGAACTATTCGTTCACGAACTTAACATCTCTAGTTGGTACGTCGGTGTATACGTTTTAAAGTGTATTTATGCTCCCACCGGCCGTCAGATCTTTGTTGTGTGTATAACCGCCGAATTGGTTTAATATATGCTTTTTGGTATTATGTGTCTACATCTATCGGTAGGAAAAAGCGTTATACTGTATAATATATTGGTAACCGAAATTTGTTAGTGATAAGAAGTTGGTGGACCAGGAATTGGTAGCTTCACACTCGTAAAATTACAATTATGTATTACATCTATATTTGTGGTAACATACTTTTAAACCAGACTACCGCTTAACAAAATCGTATTATCTGTGACCAGGCTAGTTATAAAATAACCTGACTGGTCACGTAAACGAATAATGTTTAACGACCATGGTTTATTTTGACAAACGTAGGCATTCATTTTTAATCAAGAAAGTTGAAAGTATAATTTCTATATGATCTGATCTTACTAATTTCATTGACAAGCATTGTAGCCCTTGTTTCATTATCATTTGTATTACTAATACAGTTTTCTCGTATCACAATTATAAATTCCACTCAGTTAACTCACATCTTTTTTTATTAAAATCTAAATAAAATTAAGTTATATATTATTTTATAATTGTGTTATTATTATATTTTATATCTAATGATGATTGATTTATCTGCATAAATTAAAAAGTTTTGACATTGTTGATGATGTGACGTTATTTTTCATAATGCATCCAGTTCGAAGACGTAAGAAACGACCAAACTATGGTGTACGTATAGTCGAGGTAAATCGAGGAAAGAATGGCTTTGGATTTACTATATCTGGTCAGCAACCATGTATACTTAGCTGTATAGTACCTGGTAGTCCTGCTGATCAAGCAGGTCTTAAGGCAGGTGATTATTTAGTTGCTGTCAGTAATAGTAATGTCAGTAAGCTACTTCATGATGATGTTGTTCAGTTGATTGGCAGTTGTCAATCTACATTACGTTTAGAAATAGCAGAAAATTATTATTCTGATAGTTCTGATGAAGAATATAAAAATGAGTTTGGTAAACAACGCCCTAAATATCCTCATAAATCAAGACCTGCATTAACCCCTATTAATGTCAACAAAATGAAAAATGACGATATTAATTATCTAGGGGAGAATTTAAAACCTATTCCAAGAATTACTTACAGTACAACACTTCATAAAGAAGAAGTATTAAATTATACTTTTCAAGTATTTGTACGATATTTGGGATCTATAGAAATGCCATGTATTCCAATAGGATCAAGACTACAAGTTAGTTATTCTCATTTTTATAGTTTGAATTTAATAATTTTATGCATTTGATTATCAAAAACTATTTAGATAATTAACAAATAATGAATTAATTATAATCTATACCATATGTATTGATGTTACTTTTTTAGTTGATAAATTAGTAGACATTATAATGGTAAAAGTTTAGAATAAGGGTGGCCAACCTCAAGTACTTAGGTTAAAGGCGAGGAAAGAAAAGATATTATATGGTTTATTTTTGTGAAATAAATAAATTAATGTCTTTATGTTCTTAGATTCAGGGTATAACTGTCAATTTTTCGAGGTTAAATTAAATGATAAATTACAATTTGTAGATTTTGTTTTTGAGTATGTTACTATAAATTTTTTTTATAAAATTAATTCAAAAATATATATTTTTTCATATTATATTAAAATGTTAAATAAATATCTAATTATTATCATATGATAGTTTGGATATTTCTTACTGAGAAGTCATTGTACTGAAGCTGTCAATATGTTTATTTTTAATTTAGATTAATTTGATTAGTAAATTTTATTAACATTAATTTATGTGGATTCATTTATTTCAAATGTTTGTAGATGAAAGGTATGAAATAGTTACTAAATTATATTTATTGCTAGGTTATTTTGAATTTAGCACTAGAGGTAAAAGTTTAAGTACATTGGGAAAATTAGGAAAGAAATGGGTGGACAATTTGGGATTTTTGATCACCAAAACTTTCTTTTTTTTACTCATGATTTCCAAATTGAAATGTGTTATAAAAATCTAAATTTATAAAAAAGGATCTTTTAAGTTGAAAAAGTCCCACTATAATATTTATTTTGGGACCCCTTAAGGTCAAATTGTGTCATTATTTAAGTATTAAAATTTTTAAGTAATCTAATTAAAATTACTTAAATGTTTATGACATATATTTTAAACTTTAATTTTAATCAATAGGTTGTCAAAAGTTGTATCAAACGTTTAAAAGCAGAAAAACGTTCTCATGCTGTTGTTCTTATGACTGGATTTAGTTTGAGTCTATGTCTTCAAAATAATGTAGGTGCTAATTTAGCCGTCTATCCCAAGGACCGTGTAATGTTTTGTGCTGCAGGTGCTTATGAGAATAGTAAATATTTTGGAGTTGTTACCATCTCAGCAGCTGACGATGAACCCTCCAATTCTTGTCACGTTTTTGCTGTTGATCCAGCATCTCATGATGAACATTCAGTTATTGCTAAAAGATTTAAAATAACATGTATTAGAGGTACTAATGGAATCTGTTCCCAATTCCCTCCTAATTGTGATGAAATTGTTTTGTTTATTGAAAAATATTACAAATCTGAATTGATTCTTAATACGGTTGGAAATTCACCACATCTAAGTCACGATAGTACAACAACTAGTAATAGTGATTCTGGCATTGGTTACAAGGAATATCGTGGTATACAAACTGATAGAATTCTTATGGTTGATGTACAAAATCAATGTTTACATATTCAACAGGTAAATATATTTATGACCTTTTTTTAATTTAAGTAATTAGTAAAATATTTAAAAAATAACATTTTTAGGTTGGTGATATAGCTACTCATTGCATTGAATGCTCAGATTCTGTAACGCCTAAAGATAATGTTATTGAACGTGGTGCCAGGAGTCGTTCACCTTTAAGCACTAGTTCAGTTGATCTTGCATTTAGTCAAATAAGTCCTGATTATCCTGTTTTAGTCAGCTCTCCGGGTCCGCCTCGAAGATCTAAAAGTGAAAGTAGTATGCAACATGATTATAACTCTTGTGAAGGAATGAGCTTAGGTAGTAGTGTACGCAGCCAAGAAATATTATTGCCTGAAAGTAAATTTAAATCAAATTCCACTTTTGATTGTCCAAGATATACTCTTACAACTCAAAGTTTAGAAGAGTTTAAAACAAATTTTGAAGATAACAAACCTAATATTTGGGGAAGTTTAAAAAATAATAAAGAAACAGAAGAAGCCTGCGAACCATTTAGTAATAATGCTTGTGTAAGTTTTTATGCATACAATTATTTTTGTAATTATTGAAATCAAATAATTAATTTTTAGGAAAAAACATCTAAGAAATAAAAATCAGATATTAATAGTTTTATTGTATTTTAGTTTTAATTAAGAGCTACATTAAAATTGAATTTTTTTTATTAAAACTATTAACTTTTTTCTTTTGAAATTTTAAAGTCAGTCTATTTTTAGGTTTGACATTTCAAGCATTATTTCATTATAATAAGCAGTTTAAATAGAAGTTAGAAGCTTCTTTTATCCTATATAGAATTAAAAAAAAAAATTTGAATTAGTATATTTATACTATGATAAATATTATATAACATTATTAATAACATTTTTTTTTACAAAAAATTTTATTTAAAATATTCTATCTTTGATTTTAATACAAATATTCGATGTAGGGATAATGCTAATAAACCTTTCAAAATGATAAACTGTTTTTGATAATTTTATATATTTTTGGCCTTTAATGTCTGTTTGCTTATAACAATTTTTTAGAAACACTTTGAAGTAATGAGCATGAAAAATGATTAAAATCAAAATCTCTTTCAGAAATAAATCTTATTCGTACCTCTGTCACTAAAATAAGTAATTACTTAAGTCTAATTGAACTACATTGGTTTAATATATATCTAAGCTAGGACAATCATCGTGGTATAAAATTTTGTATTAGTTAAAGTTTTATAAAAAACCAATTAGTTACCTATATTTGAAGTAACTTGTGTATTATACATATATATTAACTCAAAAATTTGAAACTTTAAATGTTTATATCTAATAAGCAAATAAAGTTATATTAAAAATTCAAATGCCATTTAATATTAAATTAAAAACTTAAACATTTTATTAAATTCAAAATATGTATTCCCATTTAAAAAGAAAAGTTGATACCCTTCAAGGCATAAGGGATGAACTTAAAAAGTATTACATAGTTAAAACAAAAAAATGTTTAAATTATTTTTATTCTATAAGTAATTGAGTGGGTCATAATAAAAAAATCATCTTGTATAAGCTATCATAAAAGATTATTGCAGCCACCTATATTAAAAAATTAATTCAATGAAAGATATTTACTTAACATCCAAATTTTAAAATTCAGATAGTTGTAATTGGATAAAAAAAATCAATAAAAACAAAGTTCTTTTTAATCTCCCTAATACCTATATTTGTAATTTTTTTTCTATTTTACTATCAAGTTAAAAAAATAATGTTCTTATTTAAGAAAATTTGATTGCTTTTAACCCTAAGTCAATGAAAAAAAAATTTCACTAGTTTTTTAAAAAATAAGTGTATTATCAGTTTTTGGTTATTCTGTATATTTTTAGTCACAAATAATTTAGTCTTATAATATTTTTGAAATCTACTGATAACACAAGGGAGTTTTGAAAAATAGTCTTTTTTTTTTTATACAATTATTTTTCAGAAAAAAATTGGTGTGCTCAGGTTATACAAAAAATTATGATTAGCTATGCTAATAGTTCATCATCTAGAAAATATTAATTAATTTTATGAAATTTCCTTTACTTTTAATTTATGTTGAGAAAAATAAAAAAAATTTTTTTTTGAGATATTAAGATTTTATTTGTTATGTCTAAAATATAAAAATATTCAATTAATATTCTATGTGCAATCAAAATTCAAAAACTAATATGATGGTAAATAGGTTATCCTTATTATGACGTCATATTAATATCCATGACATGTGTCTGTCATACATAATTTAAATTCATATTATTACTATGGGGAATTGCTAAAACTATTATCTAGTGCACTATCATGTTGAAAATAAGTAAAACTTAAATCTGTGATGTAAAACTTCATTTATTTGTAAAATTTTAAAAGTTATGTTACCTTTTTGTAAGATTAGCTGTGTTACTATTTCTAACAATTTATTTGTACGTGTACCAACACATACTAATTCTTTTGAAATTAAAATTAAAGTAAACATAATTGTTTTACATATTTTTTGTTTTTATGACTATGATAACTTATAACTTAGATTAAATTATTAATTAAAATGTTTAAAACTCAATTATTGTAGGATTGCTGTAATTACAAGGGTCATATTAATTAAAACAATTAGATTTATTTGGAACTTAGAATGATTTTATGATACTAACTACTAAAAATATTTCTAGTAACAATGATTTGCTTAATCAACTTAATGGTTTTCATATTTAAAATTTAAACAAAAAAAATTTTAAATGGTATAAATAATATATTATGCATAATAAAAATATACCGAGTGTAAGTGAAATGGTGGTTTCCATTGTTTGAAATAATTTATCTGTCTTTTTTACTTTTTAAATCACTAATTATATATTTTATATTAACTAACCATTTTTCAGTAATACGATGATTAATATTTAAAATAAATTATTTTGTTTTTATAAAGTAATATCTAATTAATATTTTTAAATTTATAATTTTAGAATGAATCAAGAAATAATCAAGTTCAAGATTGGACATTATCATTTGAAAAAGTTTTACAGGATCCAGTTGCATCACAAAAATTTGCTGTAAGTGAAAATATTTCCTAATATATTAGTTCTAATAAAAAATTTTAGAAATAAGAATAAATTTTAATCATTTTTTTTCTTCTAATTAGATTTATCTATTAACTACTATCAGTCAGGTGTATTTTAAACAAATTTTTTGTAGGGATTATAGACCCATGCTCAACCTCATTAATGGGGATAATCAACTTAATAAAAAGCTTCTCTACCCTATGGTTTTATTTCTCCTCTCTCCTCCCAAAGAAATCTATATACAGGGTGTTCAGTAAGTCAGGAAACGGGTTTCTATTGTTCTCATTGTTTGTAACAATGAGAACAATAGATACCCGTTTCCTGACTTACTGAACACTCTGTATATAAAAATGAAGCTAAAAATGTATAACATTTCATCAATTGAGAACGGCTGGGCCGATTTGGCTCAAATTTTTTTTAAATTGTTCGTAATTGCCAGAAAATTTTTACGAAAAAAATTGTTGGAAAAACCATTTTTAAAAAAAAAATTTTTTGGTTTTTTTTTTTTAAATTTTTTGATGATTGATTTTTTGAGTTCCGGAATGTTTTTTCGAATTAAAAAAGCTACAGCAAGCTTTGTGTAATGATCCATATGACGTAATTAATCGTTAAAATGAAGCCCACTGGCCAACACCAAAATAATGGATCAACATAGAGAAATGAAGACAATTATAAACATCTTGATTAGATAAGTAAACGAGCAATACTAGTAGCGAAGAATAAGGATGTCGATAGTTTGAATTGTATTATTCATAGTAAAATCTCTGGAGAATTGCGTTCATACAAATCTGTTGATAGCGTAACCGTCGAAAATGAAGCGACCAACTATCCAACTGAATTTTTGAACTCGCTTGATGTGCCGGGAACTCCGCCACATAATTTACAGCTAAAGGTGAGATTGATCATTATTATGTTACGGAATCTAAATCATCCTAAATTGTGCAATGGTACACGATGTCTATCAAAAAACTGATGAACAATGTAATTCAAGCAACGATCATCAAGAGCATATTCAAAGGAGAGGAAGTCCTTATCCCACGAATTCACCCTCTGTTTTCCAAGCAGAGGTGATGGTGATACAGGTTGGGGCTCAGAACCTGCTGGTATACAAAAGTAGGAAGATAACTATCTTAAGTGATAGTCAAGCAACTTTGAAGGCACTCTGTAACGATCAGGTGAATTTAAAGCTGGTCCTCGAATGTAGGGAAACTTTAGAATCACTATTGAGGTTCAACAAAGTTACACTAGCGTGGGTACCGGGACACAACGGTGTCACTAGAAATGAGAATGCTGACTTTCTAGCCAGGAAAGGAGCAGAGAACACCTATGTTGGAGCAGAACCAGTGGTAGGACTCACTAAGCAATCGCTCAAAGCGTTACCCAAGAATTGGTGCAGAGAACAACACAGGAAAATCTGGAAGTACTTGGTAGTACCTAGACAATCTAAAATGTTTATCAAGGCCCCTGATCTACTGTTGGGTGATCTTAATAGCATGACTTAGATATCAAATAAGCACGCTGACTGGTCTACTGACAGGACATGGTCACCTGCTTAAACATCTTAACACAGGGGGGGTATTGGAATCACCATTGTGCAGGAAGTGTAGAGTAGAAGAGGAAGACTCATTTCACATCATGTGCAAATGTGAAGCCTTGTCCACACTAAGATCAAACTACTTGAATAAACCTTTTCCTGAAAAAGAAAATATTAAAAACCTAAAACCCAGAGTGACACTTAATTTCGCCAGAAAGACAGGTCTCTTTAGTCATCTTTAGACGTGACTTTATGGTTGGTAATGTATTAACACTTTGGTGATAACACTTAGGTGGGTAAACCGAAATCAAGACAATTCAGTATGAGGTGTGCACAATGGACCAACAGGTTTGAGTGCATGGGCATTATGTCCACATGGATAATAACTAAAACTAAAACTATTCCACGAATTCCAATCATTCCAACAAATCTTCCATTTTAATTCATGCAGATTCAGTTTCCCGTTCAATTGGTTTTTGCAATGACAATTAATAAATCGCAAGGCCAATCATTGGAAGTCTGTGGGATCAATTTACAATTTTCATGTTTTTCGCACGGTCAGCTGTACGTTTATAGTTCGCGTATTGATAAGCCGTCTTTGTTGTTTGTTTTTGCACCAGAAAACAAAATGAAAAACATTGTTTATCATATTGCACTCAACTGATTTTTGTTTCAATTCAAATAAATTCTTGGACTATATGTTTAATTATTGTTTTATGTTTTAAGTTTATTTGAAGGCATTAAGTTCGCTGGGTCCACTTAATGTTTAAAAAAACTTTTTGGCAAAACAACGTTTGCTGGGTTAACTAATTCTATATATTTGTGGAGGCTATGCATTTTTCTATGGTGCTGAAGACTACATATTTTTCATATAAATTAAAAATATCAAAATTATTTTATTGTACCTCTAATGCCGTTAGTGTAGTTCTTAATACTCCAGTGATGGATATGGCAGCCATTCTCTGTATGTGACTAAATTCTTTCCTAGCTGTAACGAGTGCTGTTCTGGTCTACCAGACCAGGGTACTGTACAATATCACAGGATTAATCACTGAAGTGTACAACTGATACATTAAAAAATTGTGTTGGTCTATACACTTTTCAATAAGTTATAGCATTATAAAGTTAAAAATATAAAAAATAAAATCGAGAATTTTCACACGAAAATAGCATTTGGTAGCCATTTTCGCCGTGAAGACAAGTCCAGAGGTCAAATTTTTTTTTTTAAATTAAAGTATATTTAATATAAGCTTTAATTTAAGATATATATAAAGGTGTCAGACCTTCCGGAACATTTTCAAAAGTTAAGTTGAAAAAGTTAATTTTTTGTGAAAAAGTTGTTATTTTAAATCTCCCCCTGTGGGCAGATAAAAGGTCAGATTTACAAAAAAAATATACCAAATGATAAGTAAAGACATCAAGCATCTATATAAAAAAAAATTATATTGATATGTTCATTTTTGAAAAAGTTACAGCAGTTTTTAGTAAAAAAAATTGAAAAAATTTCGAAAATTAGTGATTTTTAAATTTGTAATTTTTTTGGAGGTTTCCCCCATTTACGGGAAACGAGTGAAATTTTTTCAATTTTTAAGGGTAATGTCTTCCACTAGATACGATTTGTGATCTTTTGACGTATCGTTGAAAAAATCTGTTCGGTGAGAGCTGAAAAAAAGTGGTAACAGACACTAAAAAAAAAAAAAAAAACATCATAGTAAAACCAATACCACCTTCTCAGCTTCGCATCGAAGCTAAAAACATTTTTCAAGTTGAATGTAAATCTACACTTACATTACTCTAACATTCTCATTAACTTATAAAATAAATATGACTTGAATAATAGATATTTAATAATTATGAAATACCTATTAATACAATAATTTATAAATATTAACAGAATGGACATTTTAAATACGTATAATAAGGTAATCCTGTTGCATAGATCAAAACTTAACAATTTGAATTATTAGTTGGATTTCTTTTACATTGTATAAATAAATTGCATATTTTTGCAATAGTAACTCTAAAGAGTTACTATAGAATAATTTCATAAAATACAATAACTATATAACAATTAATAGTTAAAAATAGAAAAAAAAGAAAGTATTAAAGTAAAAGTATTTTACAAATATCAAAGTGATATTCGGAAGGATCTGAAAAAGTGTATTTATCTATTTTTAATTTTATTATTTTGTCTAAAATAGTGATTTTTTAAATTTAGTTTCATTACATTTTACTTTTTATAGGAATTTTTAAAAAAGGAATTTAGTGCAGAAAACTTGTATTTTTGGACTGCATGTGAACATTACAATTCTACTCATGACCAAGTACTGAGATGTGCTTTGGCTCGTGATATATATTCTAAACATTTATCGAATGATGCTTTAGAATCAGTTAATGTAGATTCAAAAGCTTCTAATCTGACCATTCAACAAATAGAACAAGCAGATCCAAATCTTTTCTTACATGTAAATTTACTTTCTATACTTGAAATAGTGATGTTACAAATCTTGATTTTTAAAATAAAACTGAACCCCAATCAAACTTTCAATTTTGTAATCAAACTCAAATTGAAACAAACAAACCAAATATATTATCAAAACTTAACCAAATATTATTTGATAAATTCAAGAAGTTTTTTTATTATGTTAATTTGATTTACAAAGCTATTTAAAAAAAAAAAGTTTGATTTGATATTTTTAATTGTAATTCGAACTGGATAGTTTGTGACATCACTAATTTGAAGATTTTTTTCTAGTATTGTTATATTACTATTTCTATGTTTAAAGGCCCAAAAACAAGTGTTTAACCTCATGAAATTTGATAGTTATCCCCGATTCATTAAATCTGACCTATTTAAGACGTGTCTTGTAGAACAAATAGCAGAAAGTACACCTAATATAGATGAAGTTATGCCAATATTAAAATCATCACAATATCCCAATAAAAAGGTAATTATTTCATTTGGAAGTATATATTAATTAAACATTTAAATATATGTTAATATTGGAAAAAATGTAATATTTTAATTAATTTTTGAATAAGTTATTAATCATATACATATAAGGTATACTGTGTGATCCAAATCTGGTAAGACACTCATTTTCCTAGTAACTATTGAGAATTTTAAATTTTTGTAAAGAGAAAAATATCAGGTTCACAAAATTGAAAAATTTTAATGATAAAATTATTTTTTAATTTTTTCTATCATATTATAAAGTTGAAAATATGGGTTCCCATTTAAGAAAATTATAAATAAGGATTTTTATCCCTAAATGGATAAAAATGTCAAAAAAAAAATTATTTAACTACATATTATTGTTGAACTTTTTGATGAGTATCTGGTAAGATACTCACCTTACCAGATTTTAATCAGTCTGTATATGTAACACATATGTATAACATTTTCAAGTAAAATATTCATTCAATAACACAAGTAATTTTTATGCTGTGCAAATTTTAGAAATGTTGTATAAAATGAAGATATGGTATAATATCTTCTCAACTTTTAAGTCTTATCAATTTCAATTTATATTGAATGTATTAAATCTCATCTAAGAATCTTATAATTTATATTTTATTGCAAATTTATACATATTATAATAAAGTATATTATACATTTAAAAATAAAATATACATTTTTTTAGCCATTTGATATAGATGAATCATTGAATAATGCAGTTGAATATCGTGTTAATACTGGAAGTCGTAGAAAATCAATTCTTTCATGGAGAAGACAGTCAAATACTCAACCTCCTTTGACATCTGGTCTTTGTCGAGTCACTTTACCTGATAAATCATCAACTGTACTCCATGTTAATCCAGATTTAAGTGTTCAAGTCATTATTCAGAGATTATTTACTAAAAGAGAATTTCCATACAAATTTTTCAAAGTGACAACTAATAATGGTGAACAGGTAAATATTATTTTTTATAAAAGAAATATTGGAGAACCAAATTATTTTGAAACCGTAAATTTAATGTTAAAACAATGCTTTCAAAACCAACAAATGGTGTTGGAGAAGAAGTTGCACCAACAAAACTAAATAAAAATGAATAAGATAATAATTTCTCTTCTACTTCTTCTTTTCGTGGCGGTCAGTGGTAGAATTTTAAATTCCAGCAATTAAATCAGCAATTTTATTTGCATTGTCCCTTAATTGTTTTCCTATAAAATCCTCGAACTCTCCTCTTACTGGTAGCATTGGACATTCCAATAGATGTTTTGTTTTTTGCATGTACCCGCACTCACAGTCCGCATCTGTAGTAAGGCTCCATTTGCACATATTTTCTTTAGTTCTTCCTACTTCCAATCGTATTCTGTTAATGGTCTTCCATGTGTGACAAGGTAAGTTGTATCTTGGGGGAAGGATTCTGTCGGATGTCCCCATATTGTACTTTTATCGTTATCGGTGACTGCCACTTTTTTAATCTTGTTACTGTTAGCATTTCTATAATGGGTTCACTAGTTTTGATAAACAGCTTTCTAGATTTTAGCCGGCTATTAATTTTAACTTCACCAAACATGTGGTGTCTGTGGTCATTTATCTGTTTCTTCCTTTCCACCATCGCTGCTACTTCTCTTCTGATATCTGAGGGAGCAATCCCGATTAAAATCTGTGTTTTTCCTACAGGTGTGGGTTTTAGACATCCATTAATTTATTTGTGTTATTCAAGGCTATGTCTACTTTCTTGGCGTGTGCTGAAAGACTACATACTGAACTGGCATACTCTCTGGCTGATTAACAAAAAGCTAGACCGGATATTCGAAGTATCTTTAGACAAGCGCCCCATTTTGTCCCTACTAATTTTTTTAAAATAATTTCTCTGAAAATAATTGTTTACCCCTTGAATGTCATTTAAGAGATGACAACTTGGTCAATATCTTTAATCTAATTTGTATTGAATGAAAACTAGGGTTGATTAATCTGCATTCTTGCTTGACCAGATCATAGTTTGAGTAAACCATTTCTCTTTTTAAAAGTTGATTTATAATTATTTTAAAGAGTTTAATGAAAATGAAATTTTATTTTATTTTATTTATTTATTTTCATTTTTTCAATGGAGAAGATTCATATTAATATTTTATATTTAATTATTTTAAATATAATAGAAACCATTTTAAAAGCCACCCTGTCTCATTATTTTCTGTCATCATAATCAGATATAACACAAATTTTTAGTTTACTCAAATAGCTTGTGAGCCTCAAAAAAAAGATCCTTGATTATTTTGTTTAAACATTTGCGCTTAGTTTCTAACATATGCTAAAATTGTTTATATACAATCTATAAATGTATGTGTTAAAGGGAAATTTTTGTTAATTGTGTCTTTGGTTTTGATCTTAGTCCTAACATCAATGTTTCGTCTAGTTTTTTTTTAATTTTCTTATACAGTTAATATATGTATAATTCATTTTCTTTATTGCTGTTAAAATTATTTTAAAAACTATCTGTTTTAACTATTTTCATTTAAAGTGTAATTTATACAAGATGTTAGTAAATGAGCAGCTTGTGAAATGTTGAAATATTTATCCTATTTTAATGAAAAGACGTCTCTGGGATCACTTATAAATAAAAATTGGATTTAGTTTTTTTAACAAACAAATGAAAAACCTGGTCTAAAAAAGTTAATTATTATTACTTAATTAAAATGAAACTTTTTTTTATCACTTTTAGCTATATGTGGTTAATCCATCACAAAATAAAATAAAACTTAAATAAATATAAAAAAAAATTTTATTTATCATTAATTATACTCACCTAGTTTGTAAATTCATAATAATGCTAGCATAAATATTTTATTTTAGGTAATTAACTTGAGTGAATCATCAAGTATATTAGATGGCTTGGATGTTAAAGTGGAACCTAGAGTTTCTTTTAGATTAGATCTTCCTGATAGAAAAACTGTAAATGTAGATTGTAAAATAGATTCTACTGTTGGACAAGAAATTAGTTCAATATTGTTATCATATGGCTACAAGACAGAATCAGTTACCTTATGCTTGGTCAGAGAATATCTATTATTTTACTTGAAATTGTATATTTTAACTATAATTTATAATTTTTTGCTGTTTTTAGATAAGTGAAAATGAAGTTGTTGATTTAGATGTGAATGTGGCTCTGGTAGATGGTCAGAGAATACAAGTTCTCACCCATAGTAATATTGCGTCATCTTTTTCTCAAAATTATTCAACAATGAAGTATATAGATGACTCATGTAATTTAGATGAATTAACTAATCAAGTATTTGAAGACTTACTGCAAAATAAGTGTCCTGAATCTGTAGAACAACCATCTGATCAGGGTTCTATAAAGGTTAATTTTGTAAATAATTTTTTAATATTATTGTTTTTTGATAGAAAAACCACAATATAACTTTTTTTTGAAAAATACATTTTTACAATATTCACACTTTTTCTTAAACATTTTTGTAATATAATTTTTTTATTTTTTCTTTAAATTATTAAAGAAACCTATTTTCATTGTTGGCTATACAAAAATAGTGTTTTCTTTTCTTCTTGAATAATTTTGATATCAAATTTGCTATAAAGATGACAATGTATACATTTTTAATGAAATAAATTTTACTTAGTCTGAAGAATGGGGATCAGAACATTCATCTAATTTAATCAGTAGATTTTTAAGAAGAGATTCAATTTTTCACGAAAAACAAAGAGTAAGGCATCATTATAACAAAAATTAAAAGCATTTGTTTTCATTTTTTATTTTTTAGAAAATAAAGAAAACCTGCAAATCTCAGTGTATAATGCCAGAACAAATAAATAATAATGAAAAGAAACAAACTCTTAGCAAACTTCCGCCTTTAATTGCTAAATTAAAACCTAATGCTAAACTACAGAGTGAAAAATTATCTGAGAGTGATGGTAAATATATAATTATATTACTTGTGTTATCATTAGTTACTGTAATTTAATTTTTTGTACATTAGTCTAATTTCATACAAATTTTAAAATAAAACAATAATATGCTTATATTTTAAATTACTATAGGGTAATAAAATTTTCTGTATCAATCGAAGTTATTAAATTTAATTAAAAAATTTCTATGGTTTGATTTTTGTTATTTTTAGTAAATAAATCTTTTTTTTACTTAAACTTATACTGAATTAAGTAAAAATATGAATGTAATATTATTAAAAGATTTTTGTTTGTATTTTACTAATAAATTTTATTAATTAGCACTCTATGAAGGACTGAAAAGAGCTCAAAGAAGTAGATTAGAAGATCAGCGAGGTACAGAAATAAACTTTGAAATGCCTGATTTTTTAAAAGTATGTAGTAACATCAATATTAATAATACTTCGAGTAATAGCAACAGTCATTGCTAATTTGTCTAATTTTTATGTTTGACATGTTATAAAGGTCCAAAAAAATATATTTTATTTACTTAACAACTACCATTTAATATTGAAAAATAAAAAAATAATTTTAAACTGTTTAGTATTTTAAATACTGATGGTTTTAAACTTCCATCAACAGGTTATCAGGTTAAAAGTATATTGGGATCTGAATTGTAAGTGCACGGTAGACTAGCGGAATGGTTTGTTTCTATAACATCTTTGGTCGTGGGTTCTAATTTCATACCATGTTTATTTTTGACACAATTTCCAGTACACTTTCTATGACTGGCCAACAATCCCAGGCAGCGATGCTAAACTATAATATGTAATCTGTGTTACATTTTATATTATTTACTGTTTAATCATTTTAGGATAAAGATAATGAAAATTCAGATACCAACAAGAAACAACGTAAATCACTGAGATTGAGTGATAGGAGTAGACCTTGTAGAGAGTCAGCTCGTTTTTATACATCTCAAAATGATGAAGAATTTAAACGACCTAATCCAATAAATGAAACTCGAACTAAAATAGTAAATCAACTGCCTCCTCCATTGCCACCAAAACCTAAAAATTTATTAAATGACCAATTTGTTAAAAAAAATTCAGATAACAGCATAAAAAAACCTGTCTTTTTGGACAACCCAACAAGCAGTTTTGTTTGAGTAGTTTATTTTATATAATTAAATTTTTTAACTAAAAAATAAATTGTATAATTAATTTAAGATTTTTTATAAATGTATTTTTGTACATTCAGTACATTTTGGAATGGGATTTTTATATATTAATTTTTAATATAAATATTTTATTATTAGACACTTTAAAATATATTTTTATAATTTATTATTGTATGTATTATGAAAATTTGAAACAAAAGATAAAATCAGAATTTTTTTTTGATATCTATTTTATTATACTTTTTTATTTTAATTTCTATGCATCTGGTAAAACAATTTTAGATTTTCCTTCATCAGGTTGACTATCCAATGCTGTTTGTATTAAATTTGTGTCTTCCTGTATTAAAGGATATGTTATATTAACAGGTTCTCTGGGAGGCATCCAGTCTGGAATTATTTTGCCATGTATTCTCCATAAGCCATACTGATTTACTATATGTTTCTCATAAACTACATACTCGAGTACATTCTTAACTATAACATCACTGCCAAAAATTAATCTCCCAAAACGATCAAAAACTGATAATGTCTATAGAAAAAATAATGTTGAAATACAAATTATTTTTCAATTTTATTTATTATTTATAGTTATAATTACTTGTTGACTATGAAATCTCACAGTTAATTGTGCAAACAAATTATCTTGAGTGATTATATCAGTAACTCTTGCATGAACTACTCGTGGAGGCTCAATGGATTTTATGAATGACCATCTTAATGTTTTACCATCAATATTATGAATCATTTCCTTCAAAAATTAACAATACATATAAAAATCTATTTTGATTAGGAAGTAAGTAAATCCAGTATTAAATTTTTAAATAAATTGATTACATTATTAAAAGGTAAGTTGTTGAACATTTATTTTAGGATAATTTTTAAATCTCAAGTAATTAATTGTTCCATTTAATTCAGCACATTCAAGAAATCAAAAATAATCTAAAAATAGTACAAATTTAAACTACATATAAAAATTAGAAAGTGCTAAAAACTGCAAGATGACTAGTACAATACTCAGATACATCCAATATTTTTAAAAATTGACCTTTATACAATGATAATGTCTAATAATTCGCTGCAATGTCTTTTACAAAAACAATTTTTTTTTGTAGCATTTAGTTTCGATGTAAAATAAATTTTATTTTTATGTCACCTGAAAAATTTATCAAAGTGGATGTATTTAATTATTTGGTCAATATTTTCAGTTAGAAATATAAATTTAAAATTGCTCCTACACATTAAGGGATGAAAATTGACTTTAAATTAAGCATATTATTATTATTTCAAAAATATTACATCATTTACAATCATTTAAGGTAAAAAGATTTATTAGATAATATTTTATTTATAATATCTCATATTGATGCTCAAAAAACATTTTTCCAATTCTATTAATAAACTTAATAATTAAAATCAATAATAGCAAATAATTAATGATTTTTTTTATGATTCTTTTGAGAATTAGTGAATAAATGAAGTTTTACAAACTTTAAATTTCTCATTAGTTGAATAACTAGTAGCTTAACAAAATTAAGTTTCATATAAATTATTTTTTAAATAAAAAATTATAAAATTTTACAAAAAGTAAAACTTAAATTTTATTGAAGAATTTTAGAATATAAAAATCATTTTCATTTACTGATATTAAAAATTAATTATTTCTTGTTTTTATTACTAAACATTAGATTTTCATCATATTTTGTAGATAATAAATATATATATATATATATTATGACTTTTAATATGAATTGAAAAAACTTGTAACACAAGTTAAATTTCACTAATTTATCTGAAATTTTGTACAGATGATCTCTACCTTCTTTTTTTCTCTCACGGCCGGTATTATTGTGGGCCGCGCCAGAACTGCCGTGTGGCATTACTTCAGGGCGGTCCACGCCATCTTAATAATTCACACCACCACGTTGTGAATCAGCCCAAAATGAATCAAGAGCTAACTCGCAATGTGGTGTCCCCCCTCCCGTTAACCGGATCCCACAGTGGGAACCGTTAGGGAGGGTTGGCAAAATAACTCACAAACAAAAGCAAGAACAAGAACCTAAGGCACCGGCCTAAACCATCGCCTCAGGTCTTCCTGTGACGGGCGGCGTGGCTGCCTTTGTTTCAGGCGTTCCGCTTCCTCCTTCTTTAATAAGACGGATTCGGCGAACGCCTTGACGAGCCTCCCGACTCATCAACATCAGGTCCACCATGGACCCTAGTCGAGAATCCAAAGAGTTCCGCTCCTGGGCCCACGCCTCGCACCGGAAGAGGGTGTGCAGAGCGCTACCAGCCTCTCCCGTGCGATCCGAACAGTTGTCACACGTCGGCGCGGATGCTTTACGAATACGGTGTAAGTACTCGTTAAAGCAGCTGTGGCCGGATCACTTGGGTGAGACGATAAGTCATCTCACCGTGAGCCTGGTCCAGCCGATCGGGTCCTATGAGGGACCTGGTCCACTCGCCTCTCGTCGTTTCCTCAAATACTCAAGAGTATTCGCCCAAACCGGGGACCCGTACAGGAGGACCGAGTGTACGACACTGACTAAGAGTCTGCGCCGCATCTCTCTCGGCCCTTGCAGATTGGGCATGAGTCCCGCCAGGCAATTCATGACTTTTTGGGCCCGAGTAATGTGCGGCCCGAACTTTAGACGTTTGTCTATGACAAGGCCCAGATAAGTCATGGAGTCCTTAAACGGGATCTCCACCCCCAGCACAGCGAGCCGTGGAGGAGTGAACTTGTACCTGCCCGTGAACAAGACTACTTCGGTCTTGTCCAGGGCGAGGCTCAGTACACTACCCTCCTGCTGGATCCAGGCGGTGACTGCGCTGAGCGCACAGTTCGCACGAGATCCAGCCTCCTCGGACGAGGCGCCTTCCGCCACCACCAGCGTGTCGTCCTCATAGCAGACGACGCACACGTGCGGTGTTAGTGGAAGATGATCACTACCTATATTTCAACAAATATAAGAATTAAAATTTCAAATATAGAACCTTTTTTACTCTTCTATACTATAAATCTATAAAGCTTTCTATTTACTAAACAATATTATATATAAAAATGAAAGTTAACATTTTAAAATTTTACATCATTTAATGAAAAAATCAATTATGAAAAAAATATTTGTGAAGACTAAATTGTTTTTTTTCATTGCCCCAAGTTTTTTTTGTATAAAAATACCTATAATTTTAAAATTTAAATTTTGTGGAGCCTAAGCTCCTCATCGATTTCTGTCTATTTTATATGTGATGACTAATCATACAAGCATAGATATCATTACTTTATATTCACTTTTATTTTATTGTTTACATCAGAGTAAGAAATTAATGTACTCTACTGTAATTTTTGTTAGGTAATAATTACAGTTCTATATAGTAAACACTTTATTGTTACTTACAACATAAGCTTTTTCTGTAACATACTGAAGTAATTTTTTCTTATCTTTTCTAAACATAAAAAAAACAAATACAAATAAAAGAAATACATTTAGTATTAAGTTTATTTAATACTTACTCAGCCATAGTTTTATGTGCTTTAATATAAATATCTTGAGCAAGGTTAATAAACTCTGGATATAATTCAAACTCTTCCTCATTTTGACGTATTTTCCTTAAAGCTTGCCATGTTTCTTTTTTCTTTTTTAAAAATTCCAATTTTTGTTTAGCTCCCTATAAATTATTTTTTTATGTAAAATATGACAAATCATCAGTTATACTTGTAATAAATAGATGAAAGATGCAATGGAAAACAGTAATTGTCAATTTTTTATTTATTTTATGGTTCGATTTCATAGACAAATAGAAAAAATATTATTATTAGTCAAGGACAACTCTGCCGTGCTAAGCGAAAACAGGATAACTCCATTCAACATGATTTTTCAGGAACACGAAAAAACATTTTTAACAGTAAATCAAGATACCCTTTTTTCCCAATGTATGAACATAAGTCAAATATGGTAATTCCATTATTTTTTATGTGATATATCAAGTTTTTGCTTAGTATTTGAATTTACCGTGTTTTCGCTTACAAAACATCAAATATATTGAACTTACCGTATATTTTCTTATTTTATATTTCAATTTTAGATGGGTTTTAATAGGAAATATGCTACTTTTACATCAAAAATCGGTGTAAAACCAGTAAATTTACCTATAGAAACAAAAAAATTTTTTTTTTAATTTTGGAGTTATCCTCTTTTTGCTTAGCACGGCAGAACTGTAGAGGGTAATCAAGGGTTGCTACTGCATTCCCTTGGATTTTTCATGTCACTAACAAAGAAACTAACGTAAAATATATAACCTAGCTATCAAATTTTTTAATTTGAATTTGAGTTTTTGTTAATGTAAAAGAGATTTAGCGATTACTGTTACTAATATAGTTCCAATAAAAACCAGAACGTTATTTGAAGGAGACAAGTGGCTTTATACGGTCTGCGAATGGGAAAAGTAAAATGTATAGTCTATTTATTTCTAAACTTATTCCAAATAATTAATAATATTTATATTGTAGTAAGAGAGGAGTTATGTAATAGAAATTGCATTGTAAATTATTGATATTAGACATTAATTAGTGGTGCAGTGCATATATAATTTTTTTTTCGGAAGGTGGGTTGAACAATTTTTTTAAATTCAAGTAGAAATTTATAATAGATAACTTTTTTATGATCTCTTAATTTTTATGTGAAGTTAATTTTTTATATTATTAATTGGTTTTAGTAAGATGTACATTTTTTATGTCCATGAAAATTCTCAGCTTTTACTGGACTGATTTTATTGATTTATGCGTCAAAAGAAACTCATTTTATTTTAGTTGAACTTATAACAGCTGAAAATTTGAAAAAAATTTAATATAAGAAATTTAAAAAATATCTCAAAATTACGCTACTGTAAATTTTTTATGATAGTGATGTTAGTTACTGTCAGATATCATAATCACATTTGTCCTATATTTTAGTCCTGGTTTTTTTTTCTTACTTAGAACTCTTCTAAAATACCATTTTCAGTAAAATATTATATTAACATATGAATATCAGAGAGGAGGAACGAGCCTCTTTAGACCATTTTGTATGAGGAATTGGCTTAAACTATTTATGCACCACCTGGGAAATTTTTCTGTAAACGTCCCTGGTATTAAATAATAAAATTCATTCTGTGAAAAATATTTTCATTTCATAATACAATTATTTTTATTTTATTATTTAAAGTTTAAAACTTTGTTTTACTTCCCGAAAAATATATAGAAATTGACTACTATCATTTATGACCCTATATTCTTCATATTCATTAAATATAAAATAAATTAAATTTTATAACTAATTTAACCCTACAGCTGTGCTTATAGGTGATATTTTTCCATCTCCTTCGGGTGGAACATATGGTTCAATAATTTGTCCAGTATTGTTAATAAATGTTGAACGTTCAATCCATTGACGTACAGGTTGCACACCTTTTTCTTTAAACTTAGTACGTAAATATTCTGGACTATAATTATCATCATCTAGTTTATCTTTTTCATAATCAGGTAATTCTACTTTGATAACCTATACATGAAATACAATTTGATGTTGTTGGAAAGCTACTTAAATTAAATAATATTTTTTTTAAATAATAAACCAACTTTTTGACTTCTTAACTTCTTAAATTCAGGCTTATAATGTTTGTTACTCCGTTTACGACTTTGACCAACATTATAAAAAATCGGTATACTTTTAGTTATATTATGACCAGTTTGATAAGATAGCTAAAATAAAAATTTGATATAATATATCAGAAGTATTATATGTTTTTCTTTTAGAATGTTCACAAAAACTTACAATGTTGTGCCTTTTGCAGACCATGTACAAATTCCTAAACATTATTCCTTAACTCTGAATTAAAGTTTCTTTGGATTAATCTTAAAGCTTTAGAATATATGTTATTAACATTTAAATGTATTGATTAAGTTAATTATCTATTTAAAAAATTGTTAATTTTTAAATAAATTATAATTATTATAAAACACAGTAGAGAATTTGGTTATTATATCGTTATCACTAGGCATTGTTATCAGCTCTATGTAATTTATATACAAAACCATTGAGCAATATATCAACAATTTTAAATTTAAATCATTAAATGAATAGACTAGGATCGAGTGAGAATTTGTGAAGCTAACGTGAATAATACAGATCTTCTGTTTGGTACAGAATGTCTTTAGCAAAGATCTAGTAAACCATTTATTACAAACATCATTGATTATATTATATCGTAGATAAGATGAGAGAAAATAGACTTAGTTGGTTTGGTCATGTTATGAGAAGAGAAGAATCGGAAGCTGTAAGAACAGTTATAGAAATGAATGTTGAAGGAAGAAGAGTTAGAAGAAGACCAAAAAAGAGATGGAGGGATGCTATTGAATGAGGACAGCTCATGTGAGCGTAGATGATGTGGGAGATCGTGACAAGTGGAAGTTCAGGATAAGAGTGGCCGACCCCAAGTAGTTGGGATTAAGGCGAGGAAGAAGAAGAAGAAAAAGAGTGTAACAGATGATCTCCAGCGTCTTGCTTCAATCACCCCTTTTCCCACCCAGTACGGCAAATCGATGACCTCCGTGTCAATTGTCTTCCGTGTACAGTTCATTGTCGTAAGTCAGAAAGTCATTTTTGTTTTTTGTAGCAAGCGACTTCGCTTGAATGGTAAATTGTTCGGCCATTGTACGCCGTTATTCTTTTATTTGTTTATTGCACCCTTGTGCTCAAAGTTTTCGTGCCCTTGCATGCCACTAGTGATTGGGCCCTGACCATCACTAAATATCTTCATTGCCGTAGTCGCTTTTTCGCCGTCTGTTCTCATCTGCCATTACGTGCCTGTATCTACACTCTGACTCGTCATACTCAGATGTTCGACATCATTACCACAAGATTTCATACAGTCCACTTTTCACTAAACAACTTCATCTGTTCAGCTGAGTTTATATTATTTTTAATGTTATTTATTGTTTTTTTAATTGAGATTAACTATTTTGTTTTATGCCGCTTCGCCGCATAGTATTTAAGAGCCCCCCCCGCCGTTACCCCTTAAATTTAAGATACTCTCAGAAGGATTTCTAATATTTATTATTTAATTATTGTCTACTCTCGTTACTTATTGGATGTACAGTTAGCCGTCATCCAACAGACGACCCGTTCCCGCTTCAATAATAGCAATTTAGACAGGCTTAAGGTAAAACGGCATTCTAGTGCACAACTAGCCGTCCTACGGTCTAGCTGCCTCGTACAAAACATCTTCTATGTTTAAATTTTGTATTTTTACAAAGAATTAATGCAAAATAAACAAGTCTTTCTCATAAAGCAACAGTAGCATATTAATTAATACGCCATTGCTCAAACCCCTAATGTTTCAAGCATCGAGGCAGTTTGTATTTGATAACTTTCTCAAAAAATTTTTCATCTTATCCCTGAAAAAAATGTTTTGCTTAAATAACTTAGACCATATATTAACTTCAGTACATAAATTATAATTAACATTAAAGACATTTTACCCAAGTTTTATAGGGTTGTCGGATACGACGCCCTTAAGACTCAGCTACATCTTTTTGTTAGACCATGGGGCAGCTGTCCTAGGTAGCCGCTTACATTAAATCAGCACTATATCTATGATATATCAGCATAACAAATTCCCACTAGAGCGAGGTAAACTAGGAAAAAATAGCACTTGAAGCTTTTAAAGACTATATGACTATAGTAATTATTATAGTTATAAGATTATATTATAACCATAAGGGCAAATAGAGGAAAGCATTGACAACTTAGCACTCCCTAGGATAATATTAATAACCACAAGTATATTTTACCATTCATTTAATTTCTAAAATTTTGCAAAGAAAGATAATACAACTCTCTAAATTATTGTATAAATAATACAGGACAATAGCCATTTTCTTGTTTACAATTTTTATATACTTTCTACGTGGGATTAGGACGTTTAACATCAGATTTTTTTCTATTATATATAGTTTTTTTTGACATAATTACACACTAAACTCATAAAAATCATAATTTTTTTTCCTTAATGTTATCATGATGTTAAATAAGAATTGTGCAAAATTTGAGACTTTTCATCAAGTTTAACCCATTATTTTGATCTTTAAAGTTGAGTTTGAGTATCATTTTCAAAAAAAATAATATTAATTTAAATTTTTTTGGTTTAACTTACAATTATGAAACTTTAAACAAGAAGAAAATAATTTTATAAAGATTTAAAAATTGTTTGATTTGTACATATTGAGTATATATAAAGTGTAATATTCTTTTATTACTTAATTAAATTTATACATCTCATCAACGATTACCAATAACATACCGACGCCGCTGAGGGGTGTAATAGTTTAATTTTGTTTACATAATCCTTGTCAAATAAGCCATAAATGAGCTCATACAGTTTCACGTATGAATTAGCAATATACAACACATTACTTGTCATTGTTTGTTTACATATCCTAAACAAACAATGATACAATACAAATCATTCCTCGTCCGTGTTGTAAAGGACAACACCTTTCTTTCAATTAAATAACTTATATTATCACATAAAATTTTATTTTTATGATTAATTATAACCTATTCATTATAGACCTAAGAGCCCTCTGGGATTTGATCAGCCCTTTGACATCCGTCAAAGAGTCACTTCTATTTTTTCTCCTCTGGCGTTCAGACTTAAAAGTGCTCGGCTTTACTCCTTTTTTACTTTGCAGCTTTTTATCTATTTTATATTGTGACTTGGTGTCTTCATTCTTACTATAGTTCAATAGTTTAACTTAAGATTAATTCATGTTTGATTAATTATTTATATCAATTACAATATATGCTTATGTAACAAACAATTTTTCTTCATATTTAATATCTAATAAGTTTAAATCTCTTCTTCTCTTCTCTACACCGTGGAACTTGATTTGCAGCCAAGATATATCAGGTAAGAGTAGTTTAAACACACTAACTACACTAATCAAGTAATAACTAGAAACAAAGTACTTTTATTTGTGTTGTCTTTACAGATGATGCCATTATCATTCTTCTTTATTAATACCATCCCCATCAACTTTATTTTTAGTTATTACAAAAGCGAAACAATAGTTGTTACTTGTTGTTCTATACAAATACTGTTTTTTGAAATGTTATCTTTTAATATTGTCAGTATGTAATATCATCGGTGTAGTATGCATGAGTGTAATCTGAAGGGGTCTAGAGAGCACAGCTTCTTCCCTTATTTTGTTATAGCTTCCTTGTAAAAAAAATTGATAAAATTACATATAAATTTATGTACAAATAATTATTAGGAGAGAAATTAAATTAAATCCCCCAAACATTTTGTTCAAATTGTGCCTGTGGTAGTATGTGTATTTTACTTAAAACGTAGTCGGTTTCATCAATTACAGTTAAAATACTGTAGTCGTAATAAGAAATATATGTATATAATATTATACATAATTTTTTATTTATAAATAGATAAAAAGAATTGTAATGAATACTATAGTAAATCGAGTTACCGCGGCAAAAGCTTATCATTTCTGGTTTACTCAGTTAAAATTTCATTTCGATCATTAATTTTTAAAAGAGTTATAACTAATGTCCGGATTTAAATGCCTTAGAAAGCTTTAAAAAATTACTCCAACAAAAAATTAGTCAATTTTTAGCAAACTGAGGAGTTTTTAGTTTAGTCTTGGTTGATAAATAGATGGACAAGAACTGTCTATGTACTCAGACTTGTAGATCCATAAGTGCTCTCTTACCGATTTATATTGTAATATAGGTCATTATTTTGTAAAACTGAAAGTAAAACATTTTTGTAATGTTTGGTTTAATTGTAATTTCTTGATCTATTGTTACTAAATATAATATAGCCTTTTATTTGTAAAGCTAGAAGTAAAATATTTTTGTAATGTTTGGATTAATTGTAATTCCCTGAATTATTGTTACTAGACCAGGAAGTAAATATTTATAAACATTTTTGAAAATGATTGTATTATGAATTTTGTAAAAAAAAGAAAAAGAAAATATTTTAGTATATAAGATGAAATGGAATGAATTAAAAATAGAAGCCTTCGGGAGTACCGAAGGTAATCTCTTTTCGCGTGGTACGTTTATGACATTAAGTTTTCATATTGTGTATTGTTTTATTGTGTTTTAAGTGTATCTTTATTTTGTATGTATTGCATTGTTTGATTATATCTTTAATAATTACATTTGCGTTATTATTGAACATTTATTACTCTAAGTTATTACAAAAAGGTTGTTACGTTTTTAAATACAACAATATTAATTCGGTGTCTTCACATAAGTGTATCCATCGAAGTTTTGTTGTTATCTATGCCAATGTTGTATACCTAACATAATATGTTAGAGTCCTTATCTCTGGACAAATTAACTATATTTTATTTTACTAATTTTTTGGGAAAAGATTTTCACTAGTATTTAGATCTTTGCAAATTGAGAAAATTGAATTTTACATTTTAAAACACCACGTTATTGCATAGTACACCATAGCTTTTAAATAGACCACTTTTTCTACTAGTCCAGCGGCTTAAAAGATACAATTTGAACAAAGCTGTGAATTATATGTGTTTGGGGCCGCTAAAAGAATTATCAATCTAGTACATGTTCACCTCTAGTTGGAAATACTGAACGTGGTGCAACCACAGACTATAATCTGTAGTGCAATACCCACTTGTACCGTTGTTATCAGCTGCTGTTGCTGTTGTCAGTACATTTTAACGTTTTAATTAGTGATGGGCATAATCGAATGATTTCGATAATCGAATGATTAGTAATCGAAACATTTTCATAATCGAGTGAATCTCTCGAAAAATCACTCGAAGTTAAAATCGTCTGCTCGTATGATAAGAATAATCAACTATTATTATTTATCGAGAGAATCGAAAAATTATTTGAAATATGAATAAATATACCTATAGTAAATAATTATTAATTTAATTTTGCTTTTTTTATTTGTTGGTGTTTATTTATAATTATTATATTAAACTATAATTTAGGAAT